TCGGCTCACTGCAACCTCCGCCTCCCGGGTTCAAGCGATTCTCCTGCCTCAGCCTCCCGAGTAGCTGGGATTACAGGCATGCGCCACCGCACCCAGGTAATTTTTGTTTTTTCAGTAGAGACGGAGTTTCACCATGTTGGCCAGGCTGGTCTCAAACTCCTGACCTCAGGTGATCCACCCCGCTTGGCCTCCCAAAGTGCTGGGATTACAGGCGTGAGCCACCGCGCCCGGCCTTGCTCCTTGTTTCTTCCCCACTCTCAGGCAAGCTCCCAGAGGGCACCAGCTCTGTCTTCTTCCCTGGATGTATGCCCGGCCCCTGGAAGAGCTCACTGACTTCCAGTGAGCACGTCATGAACCCCTGTGGATGGACTGGTAGTGGTGTTGCAAGCCTGGATTTGAGCATCTGCTACTTATCTGAGCCTGTCTCCACATCTGTAAAATGGGCATTATGCCACCTACTGTATGCCTATCATGGAGATGGAAGGAGGGGAGTGTACGGAAACCACTCTGGCGGGAGCAGTGGCTCATACCTGTAATCTCAGCACTTTGGGAGGATGAGGTGAGTGAATCGCTTGAGCCCAGGACTTCAAGACTAGCCTGGGCAACATGGCAAAACCTCATCTCTATCAAAAATACAAACATTAGCCAGCATGGTGGTGCATGCCTGTAGTCCCAGCTACTGGAGAGGCTGGGGCGGGAGGATCACTTGAGCCTGGGAGGCGGAGGTTGCAGTAAGCTATGACTGTACCACTGCACTCCAGCCTGGGCAACACAGCCAGACCCTGTCTCCGATGAAATAAAACAAAACAAATAAAATAAAATTTAAAAATAAACCACCCTGCACAGGTGTGGCATGCAGTGGGTGCAGGAGGCGGGGCAGAGAAGACAACCGAGCATGGCCAGTGCTTATGCCCACCTAGGCCCGGGATGTGTTGCTATCTCAGCGAGTCCCCACTCCCCTGCCTGCTGCCACCTAGGGAGAAGCTGGCTTTTCCCCCAGGGACCCCCCAGCCCCTAGTCCCCTTCTGGGCTCCCCTCCCCGCAAGCCTCACCAGCCACTGTTCTGAACCCCAGACCCAAAAGTAGCTGAAGGCTGGTGCTGTCTTCAACACAATCTTCCTTTCACACTGGAGCTGGCTCTGTGCAATGGCATCGTGACAGGGTGGTGGCCAGAAGGCAGGGCGGGGACAGCTCTGCAGCCCTGAGGGCAGGGCTGGGTGGTAGCAGGCCTCTCTTAGGCGGTCTCCCCTTGTCTCCAGAAGCTGGGAGTGCCTTGGACCTGGAAACTGCCATTCAGGGCCAGCAGCTGCAGATGTGCCACGGCTGTTCCCCTTCCCTTGGCTCAGGCAAGCCAGATGCGGTTCTGGGGCTGGACCAGATTTTCCAAAGACACTGGGCTAAAACCCCAGGCCTGCCCCCGCACGCCTGGGTACTGCAGGCGCTCCCACCAAGGGAAGTTGAGGGTAGGAGGTTGCCACTTCCAAACTGGCTCCCTCAGCACTGCCCCAGCACCACCCCACATGGGGCACGGAGCAGGAGTGACTGGGCAAGGCCAATCCTCAATGATCTGGCTCCTGACCTGGTGTCTGCACCTGGGGAACCTGGGTGCTCACTGACAGGTTGGCCCCAGGGCCTGAGTGGGGAAAGGTTCAGACAGGACACTGGGGTGTAGCAGCCTCTGCCTGCTCTTCAGAGTCACTGCTTGTCTCCAAAGTGGGTTCCTTAACAAGGATTGGAAAGTGGCAAGATGAGTAGGCCAGGGCAGCGTGGTGCAGGGCAGAGGCTGGCAGCCAATGGGCAGCCCTGGTGCCCTGCAGTCCCAATGCCTGATGCAGAGGCCTGGGGCTCCTCCCTGGCCAGACATCGGATCAGCCTGACCAGCCCGCTCCCTCAGTGCCCTCTCACTCCCACCCCACCCCCCGCCGCCTGGCTGGCAGAGAGAGTCGCCCTGGGGGCCCTCCCTGTACCCCAAGCGCCCGTCCTCCCCACCTTCACTCTCGAGCTTACTTGTTCCCCCTCGCCTTCTCTGGCAGCTGTTCCTCAGTTTCCCAGGGGTCCACCCTCCTCCTCAGCCAGCTGTTCCATGGTGAACACAACCCCGCTATCTTGTCCCTTCCAGAGCTCTGATGAGCCCCCGCCTGCTGATGATGGGCGACACTCGGTCCTGAGCCCAGATACCCACACTTTGTATGTCCACAGCGGCCTCTGCTGCAGTGTGGCCAAAGGGAACTGCCGTGTGTGTAGATGGCCTGGCAGAGCAGCCCTGTCCCCTCCTCGCACCCGGGTCCTTTGTGGTGTGGCTCTGCAGCTCACCCCATGGAGAGGTGGCCTGCACTTCTCTGTGCTGGACTTGGGATCTGCTTTGGCTAACAGAACGTGGTGAAGTCCAGGACCTAGGCTGTGAGAGGCCCTGTGACCTCCACTCTCTCAGAGCCCTGCTGCCGCCATGAGGACGCACCCAGGCCAGCCTGCTGGAGGATGAGACCGCATGGAGCAAAGGCAAGCTGGTCCAGCTGGGGCCCCCCTAGATCATCCTGCTCCCAGCAGAGTCTGTAGCCAACCCATGCCCTTTTGAGGAATAATGAAGGGCTGGCGCTGGAGAAATGAAGCTGGGCCTGGAAGGGCCAGTAGCTCTGCAGCAGCAGCTAATAACTCTATTTGCACGTCCGTACCCTACTTCTCCCCTTCACGGGGAAGCTGGGCATCAGGCTTGCCACCTCCCTCTCCCTCATCATCAAGTCCCATGGATTCTGTGCCAACGCAGTCTCTGAGGTGTATGTCTCCATTTACAGCATTCCCAGTCCCTTTCCTGCCTCAATCTTCATGGCGCTACAGGGATCCCTGTTATATGAGGAATCCTTCTAGGATTTTACCTGAAACAAAAGTTCTCTTGCTCAAAGCCTAGTATACAAGTCCCACCACTAAACAGTTTCTGCCCAGCTCCCCCGATTTTTTGAGGCCTGGCTTAAATGTCACCTCCTCCTGGAAGTCTTCCTAGATTTCTTCCTGGTTCAGACAGGATGAACCTCTCCCACAGTGCATGCTCTACTTCCTGTCTGGTCTCCCTAACTGTGGCCAAGAACCACAGTTTTGCTGTCTGTCCCACTCAAGGGTAAGCCCCTTGGGGGACTGGGCAGCGCTGGGGTAGGAGAAAGAACATAGACATGGAACAAGAAAGCCAGGGCATTAAGTCCTGGGACTGTCCACGCCATGCTGTGTGCTGTGGGTGAGGCAGCCAATCCGTGAAGATGGCTGGAAACAACATGGGCCTGTCGCAGGGCTGGGAGTGGAGCTGGCGCTAAGTTAATCACTGTGGAAGGAGGAATGCGACTCATGGCAGCTATTAAGAGGAGTGCGGCCACATGCCTGGGCAAGTGGCAGGGTCCATGTTAAACTCTGGCTCACACTGCTCAGAGTGGGAGGGTGGAGCCAGTGAGAATCCTCCCCGACCCAGCTCCAGCAAGCCCCCTCCCCACTGGGTGTGGGCAGCTCAGCCCCTGCCAAGGAACTGTCAGCACTCGAAGTCCTCTGTGTCCTCCCTGGGGCAGCTCCACTGGGCTGACACTGGCTGGGGACCCAGCAGGCAGGTGGGGTACAGGCTGTGGTCCCCTCTGTCCAGGCAAAGCCAGCAGGGCATCAGGTGAGGAGGGGAGGCAGTAGGTGGGGCTGCTGGGAGAGTGATGGGAGTCTGGGGGACCTGGGCTCTGTCTGCTGGGAGGTGGGTTATGACTTCACCTCTTTCGAGGCCCGAGTTGGGAGGGATTGAGGGTACAGGGGAGAGGTCACAGAGGCTGGACCCAAAACAGGACTGAGGCAGCACTGTGTGGGTAGTGTTCATTATTTCACTCTCCTCCCAGCAGCTCTGCAGGGAAGAGGCTATTATCATCTCCATCATACAGGTGGGGAAACCGCGTGCAGAGATACTGACCAACTTGCTCAAGACCACACATTAAAAACACTGCTAGGGGCCGGGCGCAGTGGCTCACGCCTGTAATCCCAGCACTTTCAGAGGATAAGGCAGGCAGATCATGAGGTCAAGAGATCGAGACCATCCTGTCCAACACGGTGAAACCCCGTCTCTACTAAAAATACAAAAATTAGCTGAGCGTGGTGGCGCACACCTGTACTCCCAGCTACTTGGGAGGCTGAGCCAGGAGAATCGCTTGAACCCAGGAGACAGAGGTTGCAGTGAGCCAAGACCGCACCACTGCACTCCAGCCTGGAGACAGAGTGAGACTCCGTCTCAAAAATAAATAAATAAATAAATAAAAATAAACACACTACTAGGAGCCAGCATGGCTGCGCACATCTGTGGTCTCAGCTGCTCGGGAGGCTGAGGTGGGAGGATGATTGAGCCCAGGGGGTTAAGGCTGCAGTGAGCCATGATGGCACCCCTGCACTCTAGCTTGGGTGACACAGCAAGACCCTGTCTCAAACAAAAACGAAAACCCCCACTATCACTAGGGTTTGAATCCAGGCCAAAGTTGGCCCCAAATCTCCCAAAACATTGTTATCACCAATGACGAATATTGTACCATAAGCAACTGCTTTCTTTGGATGAAATAAGGAATGTCTCTGAGCCTCAGTTTCCCCACCTGGTCGATAAAGGTAAGGGCTCTTGGGTAGCTCCAGTCCATGCAGTGTCACTCTGTGTGCCCAGTGATAGTAGGGGCTTAATAAATGCTTATGGAACAAATGAATGCATGAGTGAGAGGAGGGACTTGGGGGGAGGATGAGGGGAGCCTGGGCCTACCTCCAGACCCCGTTACCCTGCTTCAGAGCTTCCACAATTGCTCCTTGTGGCCAACAGGAGATCATGGGTCTCAGTCTCTGTTTTGAATCTCATCACCCCCAACTCATTTGGTTTTTGCTGTCATAGTAGTGCCTTTCCCCTTGTCTCTGCTCAGTGAACTCCTACTCATCCTTCAAAGGCCCAACCCCCAATGCCCCTTTCTCTCTGAGGCCTGAGATCCTCCCCGCCCCTTGGCAATGACGGCTCCACAGACAGCATTCCACATTGTAATTTACGCCTCTATCTTCGCTCACTGCTCTGGGCACCCCTCAAGCAGGTGACTGGGGAATGCCTCATTTCCATGTCCCTGGCATTGCCCAGCAGAGGTCTATGCGGACAGAAAGATAAAGAATTGCTGGGGCAAGAGAGGAGGGAAACTGAAGAGTGAGATGGGGCCTGGGTTTGGGGAGCTGTGCCCAGGGTCCCCCTGGACTGTTTGGATGGGCTCCAATGCCCTCCTGTTCCCGGGCGGGCTCGTACCTGCATCGCTGGCACACGGGTAGTGGTAGGTGTGGATGCATCCTTTGTGGCAGCACCCAATGGTGGCCCCGGCTTCTTGGCAGCTGGAACACGTCTGATGAAGAGAAAGGAAAGGCAGGTGAGTCTCCAGTTGGAGCCCAGCCCTCAAGCTTTACATGCTGGTAGGCTGAGTGCAGTGGCTCATGCCTGTAATCCCAGTACTCTGGGAGGTCAAGGTGGGAGAATCGCCTGAGTCTAGGAGTTTGAGACCAGCCTGGGCAACATGGTGAAACTCTTGTCTCTGCAAAAAATAGTGAGGGGTGGTGGTGTGCGCCTGTAGTCCCAGCTACTCAGGAGGATTAGGTGGGAGGATTGCTGGAGCCTGGGAGGTCGAGGCTGCAGTGAGCTGAGATTACACCACTGCCTGTACTCCAGCCTGGGCACCAGAGTGAGACCCTGTCTCAAAAAAAAAAAAAAAAAAAAGCCTTACAGGCTGGCCGGCCAGCTGTGGTCCCCGCCTCCCTTCTCCAAAATGGTGCCTGAAAATCTCCCAGAAGGAGGTTCAGCACTGGGGTGCACATGCCCACAAGCGTGGGTCATTTAGCACCACCTGGACTGGTACATTGGGTAGGAAGACCCCCTTGGGCCAGTGATGCCAGTTACCACCATGGCTGTGGCTACCAGTCAGCATCTGCTGCATGCTTTCTGCGTGCTGGGTGTGGTGTGTGTCCTTGTCCGCTGGCTCACTCTTTTTTTTTTTTTGAGACAGTTTTGCTCTGTCGCCCAGGCTGGAGTGCAAGAGCATGGTCTCGGCTCACTGCAACCTCCGCCTCCTGTGTTTAAGTGATTCTCCTGCCTCAGCCTCCCGAGTAGCTGGGATTACAGGCACAAGCCACCACACCCAGCTAATTTTTGTATTTTTAGTAAAGACGGGGTTTCACCGTGTTGGCCAGGCTGGTCTCAAACTCCCGACCTCAGGTGATCTGCCTGCCTAGGCCTCCCAAAGTGCTGGGATTACAGGTGTGGCCACCGCGCCCGGCCTACTGGCTCTAACGGCCCTCTGTGGGCCCCTTTCATTAATCTCACTTTACAGATGATGGTGAAACTGAGGCTTCCCATTCCAGGCAACAGTGAAGGCATCAGCATGGTTTTCTACCCTTTCTGGCAGCAGGAGCACTGAAGCTAGGCTGGGACTGTTTTACCTAGGATGAGACCTGCACCCTCCAGGGGACCGGCTCTCAGACCTGTGAGAGGAGGCGGTGACGTGGTAATCCCTTGAGATGCTGACTTCATGTAAATCTGATGCCGTCCTCCTCTAAGTCTCAAAACTGTCCTCTGCTGAGCTTGGGGCCTGCCCCACACCTGGACCAGCTGCTTGGAGTGGACATGGCCGGGACAGGACAGTCACGCCAAAAAGGCCCTTGGAAGAGTGAAGCAAACCTGAGGCTGGGGAGGGAGAAGTCACCAGGTGCCAGAGGCACAGTGCCACCGTGCTGGGGGCAGGGGGTGAGGTAGCGAAGGCAGCAGAAGGGCGGCGGCCTGTGCCCAGGTGCAAAGCCAGTGAAACAAATGACAATAGCTTCCTATGTGCCAGGCATGGCTGGAAGTCTCATGCCCACAGCAACCTTGTGATGGGATTACTGTTCTTTTACCCAGGTTACCAATGACAGCAGAGGCTGAGTAACCTGCTGGAGGGCTCCAGGCTGGTCTCTGACCCCCACAGCTGGCTCCAGGCTGGAGCAGGGGCCCACAGGACCCCCACATGCTCAGGGTGGGCGCTCCATCCCACCCACAGCAGCTGAGAAATGTCAGAACGCTCCCCTCCCCGCTGCCCACACTGGGAGTGGGCTCTGGGGTTTGTTCTAGAATTTCAGGTTTTCAGTTCAGGGTTGAGGCCTTCTTCCTGCCTGGTCTGGGATGGCCTCCTGAGGATCTGGGGTCCAGCATCCCCAATTGCTAACCCAAAAGGGATGATGACACACAAGCCGGCCGCTGTCCGTGAGTGGCCCTCAGTGTCTGGATGTTTAAGGTTTATGGGGGTCCTCTGGCTGAAGGCTTCTCTCCACTTACTGCATGAAGGCCCCAACCACCCTCAGGCAGGCATTTGAATGGCATTTTAGATGTGAAGAAACTGAGATGCAGAGAGAGTGAGGCCTCAGGCCCTTCTGACCCCAGCTACCCAAGAGGAGGGCAGGGGCTGCAGCATGTAAACCCTGCCACAGGTGGGGCCTCTGCAGACACCGCCCAGCCCCCGAACGATGCCTGGAGCCTGCTATGGGTTCCTCTCACCCCAAGCATTCCATGGCCAGGCCCCATCTGGATAGGAGGTAGGGGTCTGCGATGGTTTTGGGGGAGGGGCAGGCAGGGCTCAGAGACAGCAGGTGGGGGCAGCTCTCAGAAAGGGCCGTCGAGGGAGAAGGCTACGGAGCCCTCCACGAGGGCTGGCTCAGAGGTTCTGCCCTCCAGAGCACAAAAGTGAGGTCAAGGGACCAAGGGGTGTGGCAGTGCTGGGGCCGGGGATGCAGCTGCACCCCAAATGCCTTCCACATGCCAGACAGGTCCCACGTGATCCACAGAACCCCACAATCCTGCTAACAGGGTTTGACATTGTGAGGTTCTCAAGAGGATGCGTGACTCGCCTGGAGCTATGGAACTAGCCCTCAGCAGAGCTGAGATTTGAATCGGGATCCAAGGAGCGTGGTGCCCCCAAGCCACTGAGGCAGGAAGGGGTGGTGAGCCAAAAGTGACCCTGGGAAGCCCCCGACCCTGCCCATTCTTCCAGGATGTCCCATCTCTCTGGCAGGGTGTTCCTGGTTCCGACCTTCCCGGGGCGGCCCCAATCATGCAGGCTGTCAGGCCATTTTTGGAGCATGGCGCAATGGACAGGCATGGGCTGGGCTGGCGAGTTCCAGCCCCCGTGTGGCACAGGGAAGCTAGCGCCTCTCCAACACACACTGTCTCCTCAGGCCAGCAGGACCTTGTGTGTGCATGGGTGGTAAGACACCCACGGGCCGGGGACAGGATGGGGCGGTCGGTGCTCAGGGCTGACCCCTCCTCCCTTCGGCCGGCCAGCGCTGCCTGCAGGGAACATGGAGACGACCTGATCCCAGCCTGGTGGGACGTGAGTGTCAGGGAGCATGGAGGCAGCTCGTGGTGAGGATGCTTGACCGAGGACGCCGTGGGGACAAGGCTTTCAGGAATGGGGCTGTGAAGGAGGGAAGGTGGCAGCCAGCTGGGGCTGGTGATCTGAGGGTCATTTTTTGACGATGGGAGAGACTTGAACCTGTTTCAAGGCGCTGGGAAGGAGCCAGTAATATGAGAGAGAGAGAGAGAGAGAGAGAGAGAGAGAGAGAGACAGAGAGAGAGAGACAAAACATCACTGTAACTGGGAAGGGGAGAGGGAAGAGGCCCAAGGCCACCATCTGCTGGACAAGCAAGGCCCGTGGCACCAGGAAGCTGCAGGTGTCCTGTCGGGGCGAGCCTTCCTCTGAGGCAGAGGGTGGAGTGAGATGGGCAGGGCGTCTGGGTGTGGAGAAGGTCTCTAGCCATCCCCATGGGCAGTGGGAAGCAGGTGCTCAAGACACACTAGGAGGCGTGGGCGGCTAACACAGTGGTCCCCCACCGGGACCTTGGTTTGGCCAGGCAACGCTATAGCAACTGCTAGGAGCAGGGGTTGCTCAGAGGGGCTGCAGGGGTGTACTGCGAGGAGCAGCTGGGCAGCACCGCAATGGGGGAGGAGGCTGGGCAGGGGAGGGGTGAAGCCACCCGCTGGGGCCACTCTGCCAGGTCACTGAATCACTCAGATGCAGGCAGTGTTTGTCCCGAGCCTCTGGCTCCCCTGTGACCTCAGCTGCACATAGCCGGCTGAAGGAAGGAGTGGAGGGGACGGGACTCAGGGCAAGGGCCACTCAGAGAAGGCTGCAGGCGTCCCCACTGAGAGCCACCACACAGCGCCGGGAGCCGGGAGCGCCACTCCATGGAAGTCTGGATGAGGCAGTGGAGTCGGGGCTGAATGTGGGGCAGGAGCGTGGCCCCGGGGGAGAGGTGGATCCCACCGCCCCCACTGGCCCCTCCCTCAGAAGGGCACAGAGGTACCGTATGGTGCTGGGGAAGTGGGGACACCACTAAGAACGTCAGCCCGCTGTCACCAGAGCTACCAGGCCCCTCTGCACCTACTGTCACAGGGCTGCTGCGCTCGGTGGGCTCGGAGGTGCCCTCCTTTAATCCTCCCGACCCTCCTCCATGGGCACCCTCACACCCACGTTAGGGGCGAGGGGGACGGAGGCACAGAGAGGGCAGGTCACAGCCCCAAAGGTGCATGGCGGCGCGGCCCCAGAGTTCCCTCTCTCACGTTGGCGCTCAGTGACTATGGCTTCCAAAGCTGGTCTCAGAGCCAGTGGCGAGAGGGTCCGGGTCTGCCCCGCCCTGCCTGTTGTGACTGTGTGACCCCGTGGACTGTCCTGCAGAGGGAGGAACCCTGTGACTGGGTCCATGCACCAAGCCTGTGTCACCGGGGAGGGTCTTCCCCTGAGCCCCTAGCTCCATCCCAGAGGCAATGGAGACAGGAACAGAGGGTGGGCAACTTGCTCTTGCACCGCCCAGGGCTGTCCTGACGTTCAATCTTGGGAGTCCTCCTGTTCTCTGGGCCTCGGCATCTCCGGTGACAGCATGGGGAGGGGCCCGGTGGACTCTGGGTGGGGCTGGAGCCTGAAGATGCCAGGTGAGTGGGAGAGTGGCGGTGGCTGGGCATAGGGGCCACAGGGGGAAGTCTCCTGGGACAGGGTAGGCGAGTGTGACCTGCCTTAGCCAGACGGGTGCCTCCACTTCCCCCACACACCCCGGAGAGGCTGAGGACTCTGTAGCTCATCCCAAGACTGCAGACACATTTGGCCCACACTGTAGTACTAGAGAGACAAGGGGCTCCCCCGACTGCCTGCCTGTCCTTTGGAACCCCACACTCCCCACCCTGGCTGGGCTGGCCTCTTACCATGTCCACGGCCACCTTCATGGCCTCCTGCAGCCCAAAGAGCTTCCCAGCCACCAGGTAGACGCCGCCGGTCCACACGGCACAGGCCTCGTGCACCCAGTGCTCCTGCGCCTCCCCGCCGGGCTCTGCCGGGGCCTCCTTGCTGCACTCGTGTTTGCGGCCCTTGTCGGCTGGGGCTGCCTCCTCGCCCCCATCCTCCCGGCCATCACAGCAGTAGCAGCTCTGCAGCCTCCGGGACAGGCCCCGGGCACTGGTGCGCAGTGGGCCCTGCTTGGCCGGGTCGGCTGGGCCGTCAGGCCTGGGGGGCTTCCCGGCAGCAGTGGTAGCTGCGCACTCGGGACCTTTGAGTGTTCTCTCAAGTGGCAGCGAGGCCTCCTCACAGGTGCCTTCTGGCCGCACCTTCTCCTTGAGTTTTGGCTTCTTTTTGGGGAGGCAGTGTTCAGGGTAGTAGGGCCCACAGAGGTCCCCAAGGTCCTTGAAATTGGCCGGGTTTTGGCAGAGGCAGCAAACAAGGCAAGAGGTACTCAGGGCCTTGGAAACCACAGGCCCCAAGTGCATCGTGGAGGAGAGGGGCAGGGAGGGCCGTGGCTGCAGGATGGAGCCTCCAGGGAGCGTGGCCAGGGAGGCCCCGGCTGCATCCAAGGAGAAGGAGGATGAGGAGGAGGAAGAGGAGGCAGAAGAGGAAGGCTTCCTGTGGGGCTTGGGCGCATCTCCAGGGGAGTTGACAACAGTGCATATGGTGGTGAAGGCGTCTCGCTTCTCCACCCGCACGAAGGGTGAGAAGGCGGGGGTCCGGCTGTCTGACCTCAGCCGCTTGCAAGAGGAAATGTACTTGAGGCGGATTTCAGGCTCTGCGGGATCCAGGGGCAGCACCTGCTGCTGTCGTCGTCGCTTGGCACGCCCCTTACAGGGTGAAGACGTGGTGTTCTTGGCCCGGCCCCGAGTGAGGCGCTTCCGCTTGGAATAGCTGCTGTAGTTGGTGTGGCCTGGCTGTTTCTGTGCCCTTGTCTGGGGCTGGCAGGGCCGGCCCTCAGGGGGCTGGGAGGCCAGGCCCAGCTCCTCCATCTTTGGCTTCTTGCCTCCTCCACCAGAGTTGTCCTCGCTGGCCCCTTGTGTGCCACTGGCCCTGTCTCGGGGAGTCAGGAGCAGAGTCGGGCCAAGATAGGGTCGCTTCTCCAGTGGGCCTTTGGAGAGTCCAAGGGCCCCTGCCCGGCCTTTTCGGCTCCTCTTCTTAGGTGCCAGGGCAGTCCCCCCGGGCTGCAGGGCCTCTGGGGATGTGAAGGCCTCAGTTTTGAAACAGTCAGTCGAAGACAGTTTCTTACTGTTCATGAGTTTGCCTTTTAAGGATCTGTTGGTTGGATTTCTGCATAACAGATCGGCCCCAGAAGAAGCTGGGAGCTTCTGCCCGGTGCCCACATTTACCAGGCCTTCTTCCACCCCCACTGGGCTGCCCCCAGCACCCTTGAGCCCACGGTCTTTCTCGGGAAGGGATGGGCTCAGAGGATTACCAGGAGAGGCCCCTGGCGCTTTACAGACGAACTTCTTGAGGCTGGGCGAGGTGATCTTCTGCACAATGGCTTCCAGCTTCAGGCCCCGGCCCTTCCGGGGTGGCAGCACCTTGGTCTTCATGGCCCCCTGGAAGGCCGCCCGAGAGGCGAGCTTGAGGCAGGCGTCGGGGGTCTCCGGGGGTGGGGGCTTTGTGGCGGGCTCACCATTGCCCTTGGTGGGCTTGGCTTTCTTGGGAGAAGACATCCTCTTGAAGAGGGTGGGGGAACCCTCAGGCCTCTCCTCCTTCCCATCTCCCCCATTGCCACTGGCATTGCTGCTGCTGCTGCTGCGGCTCCGCAAGACCAGGTTCCGCTTCTTGGTGGGGACCGGCGCCATGAAGGCTGACTTCCTTTTGAGTGCATGGAGGGGCCGGTCAGAGAGCTTGCTGCCTGCACCAGGTTTGGGGACCCTTGCCCGCTGGCTCACCCTGCCCTCCTTCTGGGGGCTGCCGGAGACCTTGAATGTGGTGGGCAAGTGGCTGTTGTCAAGGAGCTTCTTGGTGGCACGGCAGTTGGGGAGCCGGCCCTCAGAGGGCCTCCGCCGCTTGGAGTGGAAGATCTCCTGGGTTTTGGTGCGCGACCGAAGGATCATGGAGCGCTGGTCCTTGCCAGGCGTGCTGGGCGAGTCCGTCTCCTTGGTCTTGGAGCCCATTGGGCTGCTGTCGGAGGCCACAGGCAGGGCGGCCGGGTTGCTGGGACTGGAGGCAGCCTTGGGTGAGGGCTTCCCCACCCGCTTGCCCGACTTAAAGGCAGCTCGCTGCTTGCCCCCCAGTTTGTCTGGGGGTGCAGGGGTGGTGGTCAGGCCTGGAGGCCCGGGTGTGCGGGGCTCACTCAGGGCCGTGAGAGAACGGGTACACATCCTGGGGAGCCCTTCTGAGGCCCCCCGGCCTGGGGCTCCGGCCCCTTCCATCTGTCCCTGTGGGGGCCCTGTGCAGGATTCAGGGAGCAAGAGGTCTTTGGGCAGCGCTGGTGCCCTGCATGGGGAGTCCTCAGCCTCGGGGAGCCCCCGGTGCACCCGACGGCTCCGTAAGCTTTTGCCCCGTGGCACAGGCTCTTTCTTTGCAATGGGTGCCTCAGGCACAGCAGGCTTGTTGGGCTTCTGGACCAGAGAGGCGTCCGAGGTGGTGGAATCCCCTGGAGCTCGCTCCCCGTCAGGCCCCTCTTCACCTGGCTTCATGTGGGACAGAGAGGACTCAAACCAGCTCTGGACCTTTGACTCAGTGCCCACGGTGGGGCCCAGCAGGATGACGGACTCCCCTGAGAGATGGCACGGAGAGCCCCAGCCGGCCTTGGAGTCCAGCACCTCCTCCACCTCCTCCTTGGTGCAGATGAGTGGGGCCTTGGGTGACAGCGGGTCCTGCATGCCGGGCCTCTGCTCGGGGCTGCCCAGGAGCTCACACAGGGAGGAGTACTCCTCCTCAGCTTCCAGGTCCTCCTTCCTGCTGGTGGGCGGCAGCAGTGGGAGGTCCCCGAAGTCGGCGGTGGAACAGCAGTGCCGGCTGTCCTCCAGCCACCGGTCAGCCTTGGCCACCTCGGGGCACTGCAGCAGCCCACCTGCCTCCTCCTTCACCCCACCTGCCTCCTCCTGCTTGAAGTCCCCAGGCAACGAGGCCACCTTCTCCCCAGGGGGGTCCTCCTCCTGGAAGCCCAGGCAGGCTGAAGCCTCATGGGTCTCCCCTTTGCTGACGCCATCTGAGGCCTTCCCACCTTGCTCCAGGCCCTTGGTGAGCTCGCCAGGGTGCAATCCCCACCTGGGACAAGCATCCCCCAGGTTTTCCTCTGGCCAGGCAAAGGGGTTGGCACTGTCCGCTGAGCTGGCAGCGGTCGTGTCCGGGAAACAGTCAAAAGCTGCTGTGGTAGGGTCTGGAGCAGGAGCCCCAAGGGTGGGCTTGGTGCCAAAGGAGAGAGGACCAGTTGTCTTTTTGGGGTCAGGGGTAGCGAAGGCCACAGAAGGGTCTTCAAACAGCCCTGGGCTGAAGTCCTTGGCATTGCCGCCCTTGTCCAGCTGCAAGGAGTCAGGCAGGGCTTCTGGCTCCCCAGGCCGGGGCCACGCACCCTTGGCCACAGAGTCCAGGCAGGCGCTGTGGTTCTCCAGTGAGAAGGGTGGCTTGCTGCTGTCCTTGGCCAGGCTGGGTGCTTCAGCCCAAGCTTTGTCGGCCTTCTCACCGATGGCTTCCTGCAGCCCCAGGATCTCGGAGGCCAGGTCCTCCTGTGCCAGGGCGCTGAGCAGCAGCCGCGGACAGTCCCGCTCACCCGCCACGAACTTCGAGAAGCTGTCGAGTGGGAGACTGCTGTGCAGGCTCTGGAAGGAATCGTCAGATTTGGTGGACATGTCATCAGGAGAGGTCACGGAACAGGTGGACACAGATTCGGGCTTGGCCTTCGAGTTGCTGTTGACCCTGGCAGGGCTGCCACGGGCCTGGTTGCAGTAGAGAAAGCTGCGCTCCAGTGGGTCCTCAGAGCCGCTCAGGTAGTCGGCCTCCTGTGGCTCTGCATGCGTGGACTGTGGCGTGCTGCTCAGCGGCTCTGACAGTGGTGTGCCTGCGGGCTCGGCCGAGTAGCCACTGCCTTCGGGGCTGCAGTGCTGGCTTTTGTGCTGCTCCGGGGTCCTGGACACGAGATTCTTGACACTTTTCTTTTGCGGCACGGCAGCCTTGGAGAGTAGCAGCTGCTGGACGGTGTTGGAGATGTTCTCCACCTGCGAGGTCAGCGCCGTGAGGCTCTGCAGGCTGAGATCTGACAGCAGGTTCTCGGGGAGCTTGTCCTTCTGAAGGGGCTTGCAGTTGCCAGCCTGGGTGTCTGCGGAGCTGGTGGCATCCGTTGGGGAGGGATTGAGCAGGGGCATGAAGTGGCTGTGGTCAGTGATCCCCGCAGGGAAGGCCCCGGTGCTGAGCGGCTGCTGGCTGTAGGGAAAGTTCTCCAGGTTTGGCATCAGTGGCGACGGCGTGGAGCTGTAGGAAGGCGAGCGGCCCACGGAGCGGGCGGGTGAGTGGCTGGAGCTGGGGCTGAAGGTCTGGTAGTACTGCTCCGGGGTCCGGACAGCTGCGTCCGGCTGGCAGTAGCCCTGGCCTTGCTGCCCGTAGTGCTGATACTTGGCAAGGTTTTGGTAATGGAGGGTTTCCTGGGCATGGTGCCGGCTCTGAAGGGCTTGCTGCTGCTGCTGTTGCTGCTGCTGCTGCTGCTGGTGGTCATAGCTGAGGCGGCTCGACTGATAGGCATGAAGATTCTGGACCCGCTGCCCCGGGGCCAGGCTGGAGCTGGCGGTCAGTGACCTGTCATGGGGCTGGGCAGTCGGCGCTGTGCAACTCTTATAGGAGTGGGCACCCTGCCCACCGCCCTGGACAGAGGAGGAGTAGGTGGAGGAGGTAGGGAAGGACTGGGAATGCTGAGGAAAGTGGGTACTCTGGGGGAAGGGCAGAGAGGAGGCAATGTCGTTCTGCAGTTTCTGCCTTTGGAGCTTGGGGTATGCCAGGGGCTGCTGGGGCGGCGGTGGCTGCTGGACGTGCAGGGAGTGAGTCCGAAAGGGTACCTGGGCGCCCTGCTCTGCATACTGCCTGCTGGAGGGCACTGCTGTCTTTTTCATCAAGTTCTCATCATACTTGGTCACCCCCGCTGGTAGGGGCTGCGGCTGTGGGGGTGGTGGCTGTGGGGCACCCCAAGCCTGCAGGCTCTCCTCACCAGCATAGCGGCCCGGGTAGGGGCTGCTGTCCTGGACGCCATAGCCAGGGAAAGCTGGCCTCCCCTGCAGGGCCTGCTGCGTGGGCAGGGCCTTGCTGCCTCGGTGGTACTTGTCGGCGGCCACTGCGGCCGCTGTGCCAGAGGGCGTGCCAGCGCCACCCTCATAGCTCGGGTAAGGCTGCGGGTTATAATATTCCTTGGCGAGCAGCCGCTGCCGGTCGCAGCTTAGCCCGGCCTGACTCGGCTGCCTGTAATTCTCCAGGCGTGATGTTTCCTGCGAGGTCTGCTGGTAGTTCTGTTGTTTGCCATGGAAACCACACCTTTCTCGAAAAGACTGCATGACTCGGGCTGGTTATCTGTGAAAAGAAAAAGGGAGGGAGGGAGGGAGGACGGGCAGGGAGGAGGCAGAGGATGAGCGATTCAGATGGGCCACTTCCTTTTGCCTCAGAAAGCACCCTCCCACCCACCTCCCCACCCTGCCTGCTCCCCCACGCAGCTCTTAATATTCCCCCCTTCGCCTGAGCCTCCCTACCAGCTGTGCGCATATTGACAACTTCTGTGTCAGGGAGGTGTGCTCTGTAATTCCCGCTCCCACATTGCCTGCAGCTGAGCCTTGCCAAGGACAGCCACCGACACGGGAGGCAAAACTGGCTGCCCAGCGCCAGGTCACTGGGGAGCTACCCGCACCCCCACCACCAGCTCCTCCCCACTGTCCCCCACCCACCACTCCCAGCCCTTCCTGACAGCTCAAAAGCATTTAGCAGAGCAATTCCCGCTCCCTCGTCCCCTGGGGTCTGCTGGATCCTGTAATCTAGTCCCTTCATGGCCGTGTTCAAGCATGACCCAGCCATGCTGGGCACTGAGGAGGGTCTGCTCCTGTCCCAGGGAGGCCGCTTGAGCACACACACACGCGTGCACACAGGCATATGTATGCTCACACACACACGCACACGCATGCACACACACACACCTCCTCTATCACTGCCACGCCATCTGGAATCTGTCTGTTCCTTCTAGCAGACGTCGATTAGGGGCTGCCAAGCCACTGTAGACATAAAACGTCCCCTCCTCTGACTCCCAGGAACGCAAGACGGCAGCACCTGCCTCCTGTTTTTGATATCATAGGTGCATAAACAGATTACGTGGCCCAGAGTGAGGGAGTGCATACTAATGGGGCTAGAGATGCAGGCCACGGCCACGGCCACGGAAGGGCACAGCCCAGCCCCACCCGCATGGGGCGACGCAGCCCTGTCCCTCCTGGCCAGCCCCTCCCCACCTCTGCAGGTGGGGGCTGGGGCAGGCAACGCCCAAGAGCCCGTGTGGTTATGATTTGAGGGGCTGGGGCTCAGGTGGGGGTCTAACCTGCCCCTGCCCGCAGAGCAGAATCCTGGGTCAGGGAAGGACCCGGGGTGGGAGCCTCTCAGAGCAGAGCATCTGCCGGCCCGGCATCCAGGGTAAAGGCTCTCCCAGCTGACTTGCTGGCCGGGCCACCCCAGAAGACCCCTCAAAGAGGGATGGAAGAAAGAGGAATGCCCAGGTTTTGGAGGAAGTACATGGAGGGGCTGGCCATTGGCCGAGTCCCAGATGGTTTGGGATTTACCCAGAACCACGCTGGCCCGCTGGCCTGGAGGCAGGAAGAAGGGGCTCAGCTCGGCCTGTGTGGCCCAGAAGGGGATAGGGGACTTTCCAGTGCTGGTTCCCAAATGCTCCAAAAGGAAGGGGTGGCTTGCCTCAGGCTACAAAGATTCCAGGTTGTTGAAGGGGTCAGGAAGGGACAAAGAGAGGGGAAGAGGGGAAGAGGGGCACACAGAGTCAGGTGGGGGGAAACAGGGAAGAGGCAGAAAGGTGGGGAGTGGGGGAGAACGGGAGGGGCTCCTCCATTCACCCTTCTTCCTTGGCCCACACCCCACCAAAGTGCCTTCCTCATTCAGTGTCTGTGGACGGATGCAGGGAAGGGGACAGAGGGCCTCCATCTGCCTGAGAGCAGGGCAAGCCCAGGGCAGCCAGATGGCCCCCAGAAGCCTGTCGGCCCAGTCCTGGTACCACTGCTCTCTGGAGTCAGCTTGCCCTGGCCCACGAATGCAGGAGACCCAGCCTAGTGTGGGGCCAGCCACTTTCCCATGAGGCGAGCCCCTGCCCACCAGTTCATCAAAGTCGCTTTCCCTCTGCTCCAGCTCCTCTCCCTGGATTTGTCGCAGGCATCCTTAACAAGCCGCGTGCCCGCCCTTCTGACCCACTTCAATCCTAACCCTGGTGGCTCAGATAAAACATTACAGGAGGTTCCTGCCGAGACGCGCCAACCCAGAGGAGCTGGGGACGGCACTTGGTTCTGGTCTGGCAGCTCCCTGCCAGGTGGGCAGCCTCATGCTCCTGCCCTGGCCAGACCGCCACAGGGCAGCCCAGGCAAGCGTGTGCCCAGGCCGAGGGCACAGCGCCCACTCCCTGCCCTCCCCAGGCACATGTTTATGAGCCCAGAATGTGCAAACCCAGGACCACTCTGAAGGCTGCGCCTCGTATATCTGCACAAATTACATTTCGGCTTTTATTAGTCCCAGATCACTCTCATTTCCTGCTGAGTGTCCTGTGGATATCATTAACATTTCTACGGCTTTATTTTTTATTTTTTTTTTCACATTCTCCAAAATGCATTACCAGAAACATTATTTAAAGAGAGACAGAGACAGTGAGGGGGTGCTATTACCAGTATCCCCTCCCTGCCTGTCCGTCTGCATCCCTCCCTCCCTGTTTAATCGGTCCAGCTGCTGCGTCTTTTAATTTAGCCGAGCTGTATTACAGGCAGGTTTCCCAATACACACGAGCAGCTGGATGCGGTGAAAGCATCTATCGCTAAGAAAAGACAGTTCAATTAAAACACAAGAAGCCCAGTGCTGATGGAGAACGCAGGCAAAAATGCTCGCCCCAACACCACTCTGGAATCCAAGGCAAAGGGAGGGATAGGAACAAAGGCACAGGCCACCTCTCAGTGCCAGCCGGGTCCCACCGCCAGCTCTGCTGGGAGAAAATGGGGCACTGCCTCTTTAAGGGCTGCCTCAGGCCTGCTATGGGCTCTGTTGTTATTAATTATTATGATTATGATTACTTTTCAAGAGCACTAGGACAGGACACAGAGGGGAAGAGAGGCAGGCAGCAGGGCTGGGCTGGGTTGGCCTTAGGAGAGGAGGGGGCAGAAAGAGTCCCCCTGGCAGAGCGATGGTGACCTTTGAACCTGGAGGCAGGGAAGAAGTGGCCTAGGGGGCAGATTGTGGGTTTGGCCTGTGGCTTGGGCTGGAGGGAGACGGGGTGGTAGGTGGGGACGGGGAGGGCACCCCCCACCCACTGGGCTCACTCCTCATGGTCCAGCTCAACCACACTGTCCGGAGGGTCCCCACTCACTCCAATCCATCCCTTTCTCCCCAACCTGCCTCTCCTCCCAGACACTTGGTCCAGGCCTTATCTCCAAAGTTCTTGCTGAAACTAGAAGGCAGGAGGGGCAGAGTCTAGTGCATCCTTTAAGCACCAGATACACGAACACTTCACCCTTAGAATCAGTTCCTGAAGCTTAGTCTTCTCAGCGCTGGACAGAGGAGGCAGGCCAGGCGAAGCGGGGAGCATGACTGGAGCCACACAGCACCCAGGGCACCAGGATTCCCCTTGACACAGCAATGGGTGTCTTCACTCCAAGCCATGAAAATAGTGGGGACAAAATGAAACCCCAGCTATCCTCTGGTGCAAGGCCAGCAGCTCTCAAAGGCCTTTGGCAGCATGGCACACCTAGAGCATAGCCCTTCTTTTAGGCAAAGACCTTAGCCCTTTCCCTCCAGAAATCTACAGAATCTACAGGACTGTGGGGCGGGAGCAAGGCGGCTGCAGAACACCCACTCTGTGCGGCTTTCTCAAACAACAATTTGATTAATCCCTCCTCCCACTTCACAGAAAAAACTGAGGTTCAGGACAAGTGCCCTGCTTAGGACCCCAGAGCAGAGCCCACCCACAGTGAAGCACCTATGCAGGACGCCCTCAGCAGCAGCGGCAGTGACTGGACCACAGGTGGACACCCCTGTCCTGAACCCCTGCGGGGGGCTCCCACTTTGGAGGGACAGTCTCTTGGAGCAGGATGCAAGCCAAAGCTGTTGTGGGGCAAGGGGCTGAGCTGCAGCCTGTGACGGCCTGAGCCCCAGGCCAGGGTCCTCACTTTTATTTTTATGCTGTCCTCATCTTTAAGCAGCCAGACCCACCTCGGGTGGGTCCACTAATGGGCAGTGATGGTCACCAGCCGCCCGCTGTCACCAAGGCAACTACTGTCCCCTGGGCAGCCTCAGGGAGAGGTCACTAGGCCTAAAGCCTCCTCACAGACCCCAAGCCTCCTCACAGACCCCAGGCTTGAGGGCCCAGTCAGGGAAATGGGCACAGTGTGGGCCAGAGCTGCTATGGCTCCTCAGGGAGCCCAGCTGGGAGGTGGTGGCTGGAATTTTTTCCTAAGAGAAAGGGAGAGAGGAAGTTGAGGGGAGACAGGAAGAGAGGGAAAAGGAAACGGATTGGGGGCTTCCTGATCCCCAGCAGCAGCTCTGAGGCCACTGGTTCCATCCCACCTACTTACCCAAGGTGGTTTTATGACCTGGTTTCGTAATTTGTAGCTGCAAGAAAAAAATTTAAAAACCCAACCCACTCAAGGTCTGGGAAACTGAGGATGAAGGAGCAGTGTACCAGGACTACCGGAAGCTAAGGACAGGGCAGACTGGGAACCTGAGGATGAAGGAGGAGTATACCAGGGCTCTGGAAACTGAGGACAGGGCAGAGGGGGAGTCCAGGCAGGGGTGGAGAAGGTGGAAGCCCTCAGGCCTCCCCATCTGTTGTGGGTGATGAATAATCAATACAGGAGACTTGGTGAAAATGATAAATCATTCGCCGGATTCACTGCTGTCCTATGGGCTCAATTCCATATGCTAGGGGCCTGGCTTAAAGGAAGAAGGGGGTGAGTTTCTAAGGAGCCCACGAAACAAGAGGGTTGGGTGCCCACAGGCCTCTGGGTCAGGTTAGGGTCTGCGGGTTGAGAGGCCTGCTTGGGGCAGATGGAGGACCCTCCTAGGACATCAGGAACCCCAGAGGACCAGGGACCCCTCCAGACCACTCCCTGTGGGCAACATTTGGATATGCATCCCTCCTCATTCATGGCCCCCCATGCTCAAGGAAGAATCCCACGGAATGACCAACATGCCCTCTCTATAGGGTCTGTGGGTCCCAAATATCAGGAGGCCAGATGGAGTGAGAAGCAGAAGGGCAGCCCTAGCCAGGGTCAGTTGAGGTTGGGGGAGCCCTGGTGTGGCTGGGGGCTCTGGGCCCTTCAGAGTGCATCAGA